AATCATAATAACAATCAAACTAAAAATCAAAAATAGAAAGTATTTTGTACAGTCAAGACATTTTTCTACTGAAATAAAATATTTTTTTGAAAATTAAAATCAAACAATATTAACTAACTTTAATTTTCTCAAAACACGATAAGTTGCCGTAAAATTCATAAGGTTGATTTTATATTGTTATACAATTAAATATCCATATGAGAGTGACATTTCAGACCGGCATTAAACAATAATAAAAATACATACTAATAATAATTTAAAATTATCAAATAGATCCTGGGTAATAGCATTAGAAATTCCCTAATTGTCGCTCACTAAATATAAGATATAGTAAGGCAACTTGAGTCATAATATAGACACAAATAAAAGTAGAAATACATTTTTGTTAWATAAAATGTATCATCCTGAATGTATATACCTGAGATAAATCATTTGCAATACTGATAATAGAATCTCCCTGATGAAGTCTACTTTCTAAACTTGATAACCATACTGAACGACACTCTGAAAGATCTGGTGTAGGAGGTGATCTAAATGTTACACCTTTAATATAAGTCTGACATCTCCATCTATTAAATAAAAATAAATTATAAGTGAGCTCAATTTAAATGCTTAGATARTATATAACATTATAACACAGTAATATCTAATAAAATTTTACCTAGCAAGACCAGCAGCACCACCAGGGCATGGTTGTACAGCTTCTTCTCCTGATTTAGTCCAATTCCAAAATAAACTTCTTGATGTTTCAGGAGCACATGACAACGATAATCTATCATCCATTCCTTCAACATCAATTATGCTTAACTGTGGTGGTAAATCACTGGTAGGTACAATCCATTCAGTCGTTATTGCGCCTGCTATGATATAAATATAATAATATAAAACATTATTAAATAACAAATACAAGTATTCAGAAACCAGAAATTAAGCTTAATTAAATAGTGAAAATAACAAGTTAAACAAAAATTACAATAAGAAATGTAATTTAGTATGGAGTTTTACTCTTTCAAAATTTATAATTCAAATATTTTTTTTATTAGATCGAAATGTATAACATAAAATGTTTAAGCAATCGTGAAAAATATTTACTTTTTTATTTGAAGGATATTTTTCAAGTTAATTATAATTWACTCAAAAGTCTCAATAAATAATACTATTTAATTGATAAGAGAAGCATATAAACTTGATTTTGCTGTGGTAGTTTCAATTTTTTTTAAAACACAATCATCAATTTAATACTGGCATTTTTCAAATTATAAACTATATTTAATTACTGATAATAATCAAAATGTAATTTACTTGATTGTAAGTGTTGTTCATTATCAGTCTTTGAATTATTTTCTTTATAATTATTAACAACAATAGAAACTTCTGGTGTAGCAGTTGTACTTGTACTTGTAGTAGTCACAGAAACTGATACAGGCTCTTCTTCTACATTAGATCCGACAATATCATCTAATTGAGGTGATGACAAAATTGGTGGGATTGGTGTAGCCGGTTTTAGGGTCAATAATTTATCTGCATTCCAAACACTAGGTTGTGATGTTATTAACCAAGGAGGATTTGGTCTGAGTGTTGTAGTTGACAGTGATGCTAGAATTTAGTAAATATTATGATGAAAATGAATCTATAAAATCAAAAATTTCAGARCATTGAATTACCAGGAACACAACGATATTGTGCCTCAAGATACTTCATAGTACCGGGGCATGGATCAGAAAATAAACTTGTGTTTGCTTGTATGCTGCAATTTCTTTTTTCATTGCATCTAAAATAAAATAGCAAATTAATATAAAAAATTTAATAAGATAAATAAATTCTAATTACCTGGCTTGCAGTAGTGGTAAAGTATTTGTGGACATGCAATTGACACTCCAGTCTGTATTACCRTGATCATTGCAAACGGTAATAGAATATCTACCATATATAGCCCTATCCAAATGAATGATTTCACCATCTTTACATTCCAATTTAAGAGGTTTTCCTTCACAGGCATATACAGTATCATAACGAGAAGTATCTATAAATTGAACTAAATTATTTAAGTGAAAATATTTGTAACTCAAATCACATAATTTTTTTAATAGTATATATATAATAGTATTGTATAATACCTTTAGCTAAGGTGACAGGAAATAAAGCAGTCAACAAGAAGAATACAAGTTTTACATTTGCACTGCTCAATCTTGCCATCTCCTTTTAGACTCTAAAAACAAAAATAAAACAACTCATTAATTAAAGCCTCATCGTTGACTTTCAATATTTTTATTGTGATTAAATTATTTAAATAAAAATTAATAGGTGATCACCAATGAAATTATTAAGACATCAAATGAGTTTTAATTTTTTAAAGAACACTAAAATATCTATTAAGAACTGTAACAAAAATAAGAAGTGCGTTATTATATCCAAAAAAAAGTTTATATTCTACATCAATCTAAGAACCTACATTAATTTAGAATACATGATTAAAAACTTAAAATTCTCTTTTKTTTCTTTATTATAACACATTGGTGCTGATCGAATATACAGACTACCAACACTTTTCTGCTCAAATATACAGATTATTATGTAGACAGCATAGTCAAGTAGGTGTACCTGTAATACACAGTATGAGGTCTGACACCCCCTTTTTTAACACCAAAGAAAAGGACAAAATTCAAACCTGCGATCACGTTTTCTAGCATTTACAAACACTATCACACTTATGGCATAATAATGTTTCTTCAGCAATGTCTAATAAGCCATGCTCCCTTCAAAATGCGGTGGTATTTTTTTCATTATAAGCTCAAAAAAGAATCTTTTAAGAGAAGGTCATACCCGCATATGTTGTCTCCATCTTATAAGTG